CTGAACAATGCTGGGGACTTTGTTTAATCAAGTGTGTGTGAATATGAGAGTGTAAAGTGTGTGTAGAGAGTCTTTCTCCCGCCCCCACTGCTCCCACTGCTCCCCCCTGCAGCTCTGAAGTCTTCCACCCCAGAGATTAAAGCTCAACACTCGTGTTTTATCATTTGTTAGCATTTAGGTGCAGCGTGTCGAGCTAGCGCAGGCTGCCAGATGTGATCGCGGCTCCAGCTGTTGGCCATTGTATAATCCATGGTCCATCAATAAAGTCATAGACAGCTTTTTTGATTATTAAATAATTGTTTTAATCATTGTATTCGAAGCAAAAATTTAAATATTTGATGGTTCCAGTTTGTCAGATGTGAGGATTTTGTGCAACATATTTGAGTTTTGGACTTTTGGTCAGACACATTTAAAGACACCACCTTAAGTCCTGCATGGGTTCATGTTTGAAAACCTGCAACCATCCATACCCAAAATTGGCTGCCAAAAAACAGGTGGGTGTTAGTTTTTGAGTTTTAGAGGTGTTGGTAGGTGCATCTTAAAACTTTGGACAGAGCCAGGCGAGCTGTTTCCACGCTCTTTCAGTCTCTATGCTGAGCTAGGCTAACCATCAGGCCTGTCACAATAACTTATTTATTTATTTAACCAGAAAAAAATGACTCACTTTTGGGTTTCATTTGCCCGACTGGACAACTGTGTGAGGCATTACACTTCCCCAAAAACAGAATTTACTTCATCCAGGCAAGTGTTAACGTCGAGACAAGTCTTTGAGTGCTGCTGGACATGATATTCACGATGATTCCAATACTGGAAATTCACCCCAAACAACTTCTTTGAGTGTTTGTTTTTACCACAATCTGTGGCCAGTTTTTCTCTGTCTCTGAGTGCAGGTTAACAACTGCAGCTCGCCCTGTTTCCTTTGTGTTAAAGCCTTTTAAACGCTTCCAGGAGAACTGAAAGGTCACAGCCACTGTGTGTGTGTGTGTGTGTGTGTGTGTGTGTGTGTGTGTGTGTGTGTTGTCTGGTCAGCCCCATGCTGTGACACTGAGAGTCTGTCAGTGACTTGGTGACATTTCCTCGCACTAAAAGCTAATGGATAAATACAGGTGTCTTCCTTCAAACACCGACCACTCTGCTGCTGGAGAGGATGAGCTAAGAGACAGACACACACACAAACACACATGGATGGATGCTTAAGAGGTCTACAGAGTGCCCATTTGATGGCAGTGTCAACAATGTGAAAAAGGTCCAATCACTCCACTCATGTTACATGATCATCTTACGTGTAGGCCAACAGACTCAGTGTGTGATGGATGTACAGTACAATGTCAGTATATGATGGTGATGATGTCTTTATTTAACACTTACAAGTGTCAGTTTTCTAATCTGAATCACGTTTTACCGTCATTTCATCTTTGCTAATATTTTCATTTGTCTCCATCTTCCTCCAGCCGTCTGATGCTGGTTTCTGCCCTACTGTTCTGTTCCTGAGATATGATGCTGAATGACCAGAAAAGTGTTTTATGCAGAACATTATGATGTCACAGTGAAGCTGACCTTTGGCCTTTTGGATATAAAATGTCACCACTTTATCATTTTATCCTGTTAGACATCTGTGCGAAGTTTTGTCTTATTAAGTGTATGAATTCTCAAGTTATGGCCAAAAATATGTTTTGTCCAAGTGGATGTTTGTGCCAAATTTGAAGAAATACCCTCAAGGTATTCTTGAGATATTGCATTGAGTCCGACAGATGCAAGCACATACAGCGACCCACTGTCCGACACACATAAAGACAGAGACAGAAGGCTCGGTGGGGACGGAGCACCCGCCACAGCAAGCAAACACATTAGCCCCTTTTACACTGCCAGATTTTCTGCGAATGTTGGGCTGTTTTGCCGGCAAGCTGTGAGCGTTTAGACACACAGAGCCGGATTAGTGAGTTGATCCAAGGTGCCCAATTTTCCGCCTCGCCTTGTCCTTGCAAACGAAGAGGCCATTAACCGTCAGATGACGGGGACGGTGAAGAACGGGCCGACTTATGAGAGAATCGCAGAAGGACTGACCAGCCGCGGCTTCCCTCCCACGTCACTGTTAACGTCACACGCTGAGCTACACGTTTTGTCACTTGCTCACGCCCTCCATTGCCCCAGAAAAAGGGGCATTCTGTATAAACAAAAGTAGGTAGGCGGCATTTTACCACACTCCCCGATTTTGTTTTTATACTGCACAATTCCTATCTAAAAAGAGCTGCTGTCTGAGGTCACTTTGACTTGACCAGCAGACTTTACCACAAGCTTACTGGCTGTTGAAACAGGTGACGTGCTTCATGTTCTGAAACCATCCGCTGGCAATTTGACCAGCGGAGTTGTGGGTGACACCATCAGCCGGCTTGAGTCATGCTCAGGCGGTCAGTTAACACCACTGTAATGTTCTAAAACTGTTTCATCTTGTCGCAAATCTTTGGTCTGAACTGCGCTCAAGATTTGATTAAGGTCGTACTCTGACCATGTGTTTACATTCAGACTATGTCCGTGTTCATTTGAAAACACCCTTTTCTCTCAGCCTGCCATGAACCAAAGAAACACTAGAGATAGATCATTCTAAAAAGCGGCCGGGAACACAGATTTGCATTTGATCTGAGCATGCTTCACCTTCACATTGGAGATGTAAAAGACTGACGGTGGTTCATTACTTACAGCAACATCTTTGTATTTCACCAGTACAGTTCAGGTGCTGTAGCGATTTTAACCTACATATCGGAGCTGTATCTGAGCAGTGTCGAGCTACTGCTGAGGCAAACGGAACATTTACTGCTGCTGTTGCACATTAAAATTGAACCAGGTCCGACACACCCTGTTTAACAGGAGGGAAGAAGGTTGGACTCTGATTCACAACGTGTGGAAAAATTACACACTTGGTGTTTAACAACGGACAGACCCGAGACCAGCTTCAGATCCAAAGGCCTCCTCCAGAGGATTCAACACATTCCCCGACTTTCCCCGTGATATTCCAGGACCAGCAGGAGTCATCTTACTCCCTGTTCCAGTCCTGCTGTGCAGCACACAGATCAAATTCAATGACCCTTTAACCTCGCTCTATCTCTGCTCCCCTCCACCCCTCTATCCTCCCTCGTCCCCTGAGGTCACCGGCCCATCACTCCCCCTCCTCCGCCTCCCCCGCCTGCGGTACTGCTGTGGTAACACAACACTGACCGGTGCCCGTTTCCATGGCAACTGTTCCCCTGAGAAACCCCCAGCATCCTCAGCAACCACAGGGCGACTCCCCAACACACACACACACACACACACACACACACACACACAGCATTTTAGTAGGCTGTTTCTAGTAAAAGAAGGTGGAGATTCACCTTTCTTCCCATCAGCAGGTGTAACTATAGACACAGAGAGAGGCATGGGAATATACAGAGGACAGACGGAGAGAGAAAAAAGACAAATGGATACCGAGAGAGGGGGATAAAGAGGAAGATATCTATTTGTAAAAGTAGGTCTTGCGTTGCGCTCATTGACAGCTGTTTCTCACAGTTAAAGAAACAACTGACCAATCTCTATTTTTAATGCCTGAATCGATAAAATATTAAAATGCGGAGGTGTTGCCGGTTTTATTATGGTAATCTATGACTAACATGACGTCATATCTGTTTTAAAAAACAAAGCCAAAGCAAGAAAGTAGACAGTGGGGCACGACCCAAATATAGACCTTCAGCTGCTTGAATAGCAAGTCAAATTCAGACAGCCCAGCACAAACTCCCTGCCAGATCATCAAACTTTCTGTTGCTGCCATTACACAGCCTGGCCGAATTCGAGTTGGTGCTACTAAAGGTTCATCTCTGTTAGGGCCGGGAGATATAACGACTATGTACGATATATCGATATACTTTCAAGCAAGACAGAAATTTAGACAACACCGTTTATATTGATATAGGGTCAAGTTGCGTGACATGACACATACCAGTGTGCATCTCTCCTCTCTCACACTCTCTGCACAGCTCCACCCCACTCACTCACTCACAACAACACAGCCGTAGCCTGACCAGAAATGTAACTACACGTCACAGCAACGCAGACCTCCTGTCTGTTTCTGTAAGCTGAAACCATTTCCTTAGTGGAAACAAAGCTTTTATTTACTTTAATGTCACAGATAAGAAATAATAAATTGTGAAGACAATAAAGCCTCCACAAAAATAGCATTTAAGTCTTGTGCATGATTTATCCTGTCTTCATATGAGCAGAGGAAATAGGTAGGTAGGTAGGTAGGTAATAGATAGGCGCTCGCCTTAGCCTTCCTGGCATGAGGGTGCACGAGGGAAAAATGATGTCAACACATATTTAGATTAGAGCAAAACAAAACAAAATCACCCCTGCTCCCAAAATCAGCTTACAAGAACATGATGTTAGACTAAATGACCAAAGTGAATCCAAATGAACATTCAGTCTGGTTATCAGATTTAGGCGTGTACTTAGGCTCAGCTGTGTTTTTAGCTGATTGCTAACACTAGCATGCTAAAATGGCCCTTGTCGACACCAGCAGTTAGCATGTTATCAACTATTGGATGCTACGTTAAAGAACATTAGAGAGTACTCATCCGAATTAGAATTGTCAGACTCACGATGGACAGTTATCCATTTTATACCACACTTTGTCATTGCCACAATCCAGCTCAGGTTCGCTCAGAGATTCGGGCGTGTTATGCTAATGTAAAATTGATCTTCCAGCTTGCAGCAAAGATGAAGAGCAGGCGAGCTACAGAGGTCTGGTAAGATCTCTTCTTTCTAACGCCACACCTTCAGATTATATTATTTTAAAACTTGTAGTCTTCAGCCCCAACTGATGCTAACTTTATTACTATGCTTATATTTAGCCTGGTTCAGACTACGTGAAAACAAACTGAGCTGTAAACAAAGGAAGTTGAACACCAAGAACCAACAGAAACAAACACAGATTTCTTTCTTTCATGAATGAAGCAGTGTGAGGCACTTACGGGAGCTGACAGTGTCCACATACTGAGGCAGATAGGGAGCCCACATGTCGATGGTGTCCTTACGTCCAGATTGGCCGATCCTTCTCAACTCAGCCAGTAGGAGAGCTTGTGCTGCCTCTCGCACCTTAAAACCACAAAGACGGTAATGTCATGACTATTTTTTTTTTATAATCAAGGTCTCACTTGCAAAAGAGGTTTCAATCTAAATGTGACTTCCTGGTCAAATAACTGCTATGATTTATTTTTTGCTCTTCTATAGAGTCTTCAGATGAGCAGTCATGTGGACGACATGTTTTTTTATCGTCCATCAGAAAACGAGCAGACACGGTTCATTCATTGGATGGTTGATACATACTTGCCAACCTTAAGACCTCAATTTTAAAACCAAATCAGGGGGTCTTTAAAATTTAAGTTTCCTGCATTCCGGCGACTTAAAGAAAATGAAAAAGAGAAATTAATGAGTACTGCAGCAGCTTTTTTTATGTTAAATACTTGAACTTCTAGTAGCTGTAGGTTTTCTACTTCTACCTTTTTCTGTTTTCTCTGGTTCTGTAGCACCAATTTCAAAAGTGTTTGCATCTTTCTACTGCAGAGACATCCTTGACTTATTATAAGGCCATCTTTACAGCAATGAAACACCCCTTTAAGTATATAAATTGAGAATATAAACATAATTTTCAGAGACAAGGTTGGCCTGTAAGGCTTTGCTTGGAGCTGTGCATGCAATGTGTGTGTGTGTTACCTCGAGACAGCGGTCCTGCCACCTCCTCGCCAACATCTCCAGCAGAGGAGGTCTGAACTTGTCCAGGCCAAGGAGGTCAGGGAGCATCACACAGTGCATGGCTGCCAGCTGGCTCCAACCTGCACACACACACAAACACATACACACACACACACACACACACACACACACACATGTATACACACAGTCAGTGTGGGCCAGTGGACAATTCTTTATTCCAAAGTCTCTCATGTGCTCACACACACACACACGTCTCACTGCTGTCACATAAAAACACTTCAGGACAGAACAATCAACATGAGATGATTGTAGAGCCGTAACAATACTGGTTTCTGAGTTTGTGTACAAGCTGAAATTTGGTTCCTTTAGTGGCGCTAGAGGAAAAGTCAAGGTTCACCAAAATAATTAGGGTTTATCCCCTGGAGACAAAGAATATCCTCTGCCAGTTTCTTCCAAATTCTGGTCAGTAGTATAAAGATATGCTGCTAACGGACCGAACCTTACGTCCATGACTCGAGACTGACATCGACCTTCTAAAGTCAAATTTGGAAAGAAATCAAATAAGTTCCCAAAATGTTAAACTACTCGTCTAAAAGTGTTTAAATCACTACTTCTGTCAGTTTTTTTAAAAGTTGCCCCTTCAGGCTGAAAACCTGATTTCCATGTGACCACAGTGAGTTTCTCACATTCTCACACACACACTGACTTTGTACTTACACACTAATATCCTCGTATAAAACTCACACTAACAACAGTTAAACACAGGGTGGGAATATAACTGGCTTATATTTACAGTCTTGGTTAGAGCAACGTGATTATTTCTGCTAACCAGAGCCTGAGTATGTTTGATGGCATTCAACAGGTAAACAACAGATATACAGCACTGCCAGGTGGATCCACACAAGCCTCATAACGATACCTTGGCATGATGAACTTGAGTGTGTTTTATTTCATTCAGCAACACAATGTGTGGAGGAATTTTACTTCAAAACAGAGGACAACATTAGAGAACAGTGAAGGTTTATAGGTGTTGTGACAGTTTTTCCTTAGTTGCATTAACCTGAGTGACTGATGGAGAAAGCTAACATTCAAAATGTCTTGGTATCGCTTTAACGGGGCTCAAATCCGGCTGTATCAGTCTGAGCCAAAAGGATGGCAAATATTTAGAGTTTACACCAAACACCAGAGAAATGTACACCAGCTTTTACACATCTGTGACAAAAAATGGACTGAAATGTTTACTTGCTGATACTCAACATAAACCAAGCACCTTATTCACATATATTGGTTTAATATATGGTTTCCAGAGAAGATGCAAGTATGTGAAATACACTCGAATGGACAGTGGATGGACTTTAAGCAGGAAAGAAATTCTGTACAAATTTCTTTGCCGAGGGCACCATGTGAACTTACCTCTGCCATTGAAATACACAGGGAAAACTCATACCGTTAGGCGTGTTACAGACATATCGCATTCAGGAGTATTGTATGAAGAGGTTGACAGATTAACTGTGATGAATGTCACAAACACAAATTACAATGTTGTCAGTTATTTGATATCTGTATTGGACCATAATAACCAAATTGTTATCAACAATCAGGAAATAATAATCAGTCAACCTCTAGTTGCAGATTGGCACGACTGTCTTGCAGAAACCTCAAATGTTAATTTGAATTATTTTGTTAAATTAGTTTCTGAAGTCAGATTCAAAACTGTGTCCTTCCCCTACCAGTATTAATGTCAATTAAATCCTGATCCCTTCTTCCCTGTTCAGACTGTTTCCTAAATTCTGACCTGAAACAGTGAAGCCAACTCACACTGAAGAACAGAATTGCGTGAAAAGAGTGTTGAGATAAATTCGATGTTACACAGATAGTGTTCCTCACCTCCTAACTTGGGTGTGTTGCTTCACTGGATTGTAGATTCAAGTGTAAGATGTGTTACTGTATCCCACTTAAACGACTAATGTTGTTATTTTTTTAAATATGCTTTTAGGCATTGGTCCCCAGAACTGTGGTTGACAATGACTACTGTGGCAGACACCTTCAACTGCAGCTAAAATAACAACTATCACTGCTAACTACTTTTACTACTGTTGCTGCTAACAACATCTACTCCTGCTAGCGCTAACGCTGCTACTAGTACTACTACTGCTGCTACTGGTGCAGCTGCCAACAGCAACTCTTCCTGCAGGTGCTATTAACTACCATTAGCAGAAACAACACTAACTACTACTAGTGATATCACTAGCACTACTGCTACTACTACATCTACTGTAGCTGTTACAACAGCTATTCCTTATGGCGCTAACACTTCTGCCTGTGCTGCTAAAAATTGCTACTGCTCTAACTAATACTGATGTTACTGCTAACTGCGCCTACTACTACTGTTGTTGCTGCAAACCACTATCTCTGCTGGTGTATCCACTACTGTTGGTACAACTAACTACTACTACTACTGCTGCTGCTGCTGCACTTACTAACACTGTCAGCAGAAACAACAGTAACTACTTACTACTACTACTACTTCTAGCAACAACTATCCTGCAGGTGCATCAGCAACCAACGATGCTACTAATTAAGACTATTACTGCTTCTACTACTACTAGTAGTGGTAGTTCAAGTTCTGCTATTGCTGCTGCTGCTAACAACAGCTATCCCTGCTGGTGCTATCAGTACTGCTGGTTCTGCTAACAACAACTGCTGCTGCTGCTGCTGCTACTAAGTACAACTGCAATTACTGATACTGTCAGCAGAAATACTGCACCTATTACTACTACTACTACTATTACTACTACTACTGTTGCTGCTGTCAACAACTATAATTGCTGATGCCCCTAACTATTACTATTGCTGCTGTGTCATTTATTAATACTGTTAGCAGAAACGACAGTAGCTACTACTACTACTGTTACTGCCAACAATGGCAATTCCTGCTGGTGCAAACAACTGCTGCTGCTGTTTCTCACACTGATGTTGCTGCTAATAGCAACTACTACTATAGAGTGCTGAAGTCACGCCCCTTCCGGTAGAGCTCATGGGACCTTAGATCGGAAAAAATATGAATGGCAGTGAATGAGGAGAGAAATATTATCTTTTGTTCCCGTTTGAGTTGTGACATGAAATCTAAATATATTGTTAATGAATTTAAAACATAAATTTTAAGGTCAAGAAAGTCATACTTTGTGGTAAAACTGTTGAGATATAAGCTTTTTAATTAGAAAGACTCAAGAGTACACAGGAGGAGGTCGCGTATGTGACGTCATAGCTTTCGCTCGCTTCCTGCAGCTTGGCCTCCCCGCTGAAATTCCACTGTTTTATGATTAATCGATTTATGATTGAAGATGTCTGTGTGTTTTGTGCCAGGCTGCAGTCGCTCCAAGCTGCAGGAAGCGAGCAAAAGCTATGATGTCACATACGCGACCGCCTCCTGTGTAGTCTTTCTAATTACGTTTTTTTCAAAAGCTTATATCTCAACAGTTTTACCACAAAGTATGACTTTCTTGACCTTAAAATTTATGTTTTAAATTCATTAACAACATATTTGGATTTCATGTCACAACTCAAACAGGACCAAAAGATAATATTACTCTTCTCATTCACTGTCATTCATATTTTTTCCGATCTAAGGTCCCATGAACTTCACCGGAAGGGGCGTGACTTCAGCACTCTATTGCTGCTCCTGCCAACAACAACTAGCATACTACTACTGCTACAATTACTAATACTGTTAGCAGAATCAACAGTGACTACTACTGCTACTACAACTGCGACCATCACTACTATTACTACTACCACTGTTGCTGCTGCCAACAACACCTAACATTGGTGGTGCCCCTTACTATTACTATTGCTGCTGTGGCAATATTAGTGCAACTGTTGTTGCTGCTGCTGCTGCTGCTACCACTACTCCTATTGCAGTTAACATACTTTCCTTATAGTATATACTGCTGATAATAATAAATAAAAATATAAATAATAATAGTCATCATCATTGGAAGGTTTCTGCAAGGCAGTGTTTTGGGAATAAACATAATATGAAAACATGACATATCTGCTACAGTTGCAGTTTTACCCCTACAGAAAACTAGAGGTTGGCTCTAAATACTCCTACTGGGAAGAATGCGCCTCTGTGTGCATGCTTGCTGTTTTCCGGCCAATATAGTCCAGTCAATATATAACCCCGACCAGCTATGTTTTAGTCTCTGAAAACTGGAAACTGATGGTCATCAGCTTTTAAAGGCACTTAATTTACCTACAGAAACCACAAAGGTTGAGCAGTTTAGAAATCTGAGAGCACATTCATTGTTGTGTAAGAGGATGGGGCCACAGGCCTTCGTGGTAAAAGCCAACATCCTGTTAAAAAAATGTTTATGATAGGTGTTTAAAAAGAAACATTCGGCTTTGAGAAGGACACCAAAAAGACTCCAGCTATAAAGTTACAATGAACACTTTAGTTTATTTACAAAAAAAAAATTAAAAGTGAAAGAAAGTCTTTGGTTTCTTAATTTCAAAACGCAACTTTCACAGAGTGTGCCTATTCAAAATTTACTTGCACAGGGTCAGATGCATGTGCTGTAGGTGAAAACAGAGGGTACGCTAAATGTTAATCAAGGGAATTTTGAGTCTTTGCTAAACACAAATTACATTTTTCATTTGATCTGTTTAAATTTTTTCATTGGTTTTATAATTTGTCCCAGTGACACACTCCCCATTCCATCAGGTGGAAATAGCAAGCATGCAAACAGTGAGCACAGACAAACTGAAACGTCGGGACACATGGACATTGAGACAGACAGGTAGACTTAGAGACAGAAAACACAGGACAGCATTGCACAACTGAAAAGAAATACAACAGACCAGGGTGTAAGGACTGTGGTCAATACACTCTCAAATGCATCAGTTCCAGACGTTAGCAAAGTCCACTTGTTTGCTGATGACACAGCTTTGTCTCGCCAAATTTTGCTGCACTGGGAAACTTGTCCTATCTGTATTTGTTATGATTATTGTCAGAAGTTATTGAATTTGAAGCAGATTGGCTAAAACTATGCAATGTGCACCTTTTCTACAAGTTGCAAATTGCAAGACCAAGGAAAAAATTGTGAATAAGATGTTGTAGATGTTGAAGGCAGGATTGAAATTTGATGTTTTTACTGTTTTTGCACTGGAGTATGTTATTACCATACTGCTGCCATTCTTAAAATTTTTCCCTATATCTAAAATATGTCAGGGATTAAGTAAAAGTCCTAGCTCTGGAAAATACTGCTGAACATATTGGCTTAATTTCCCATGATCAAGTCAGATAGATTTGAAATTTACACACTTAAACACTTGACCACTTCCTGTGCCAAGTGCATTGCAGCATTCACATTTGGAGACCCAAAACTATCAATTTCTCTGACTGACTGGATTGAAAGTGGACTGAACTCAGCTATGACAGACAGACAGATAAACAAACGGCACTGTAGACCAAAACAAGGACAAAGACGCTGCAACAAACTGGAGCAGGACACCTAAGGTCAAAACACAGGTTGCAGGGAATAGCAAGACTGATGCAAGACAAGAGATGACGAGACCCAAGGAGGTGAGAACCAGGGAAAAAAGTGGGGAAATGAATAACTAATGGAGTGAAGAGAGGGGAGGTGAAGAATTGTGATGGCATTGAGAGAGAAAGAGAAGTCAAGAGAACAAAGAAAAAACAGAAATAGGAATGGAGAGTGGAGACAGAATGAACAAAAGGAAAGACAGAAGGAAGGGATGTAGGAAAGAAGATCTAGGAAGCAAAGACAAAGCGCCTCCAAAGACAAACTAACTGAAAAAAAGGAGTATGACTGCGAGACTTTCCCTAAGCGGTACCCGTCAGTTCAGTCTGTACCTTCGTTGACTGAGGGGATGTTATGAGAAGCAGGGCCGGGGCTCGGGGAGCCAGGGGCCCCCTGAAGAAGGCCCCCAGGGGCCCCCGGAGCCCCAGCAGTGGTAGCAGCAGTAACAGTGCTGGTGTTGGCTGTGGCAGCTACAGCAGCTTGCAAAGGAAGAGAAGGAGAGAAATATTCAAGAAGAAAAGAACAGGTTAGGAAGATATAAATTTATACAGTAAATATGAAGAGAGAAGAAAAACAGTTAGGCAGCAGGGAGGAAGAAAATGTGTTAACAACACACAAGAACAGAAAACATATAGAAAAGAAAATAAAGGAAGGAGTCACAAGAAAGAGAGTAAGTTTAGAAAAAAATACCCAAATAGCATTTAAGTTGGATTTGCATCAACTTCAGCAAAACAAGACGTTGACCCAAAACAAGAACATTGTTATTGGACCACTCTGTAAAGGTTTTTAACACCAAAAATACATTCGAAACCTGCGCATGGCAACTAAAGGTGTGGTTAAGGTTAGGAAACCATTGTGGTTAACATTAGAGAAAGATGGTGGTTAAAGTTTAAAAGAAAAAATAAAAGCAGGTCTGTGACTGGACGTGATCTGCAGTCTCCTGTATGAAAGTCATACATGGTACAAAAACATCCACCATTAGCACTGAATGTTAGCACTGGACATATTTCAACGTTTCGTAATCATACAATGACCATTAGTCCTACAGTCATTGGCTGCAGGGAAACAACCCAACTGCGAAAATAACTGTCGGCACTGTACATTTCTGCAAACCACAGGTTCTCTGCATTTGTATGATATTATGTAGTGGACAGTCTACATTAAAACTAATGTTTAAACAACACGGTAGTTAACATGTGGTTAGGTTTCAACAAAAAAAAACCACCCATGTTTGGTCGCTAAAAAGCCGTTGGAAAAGCAGCAATGACACACTAATAAACAATTGGTCTCAAATTGTGGTCTGCAGCTTGGCAGGCATCTCGCCAAAGTGACAAGCTACACATCATCCCCTCCACCTCCAGATGACAAAGTCAACTCATACACTATGTCACTTTAGAAACCCTGTTATGATACATATCAAACATACAAATGTAACATGTCTGTAGTTTGCAGATGTGCACAATGCCAATATAGTCTTCCGGCGACTGGTCTGAGGAGAGATAAGTTGCAGAAAGTCCAAATCAAAGGATTACAGCTAATGGATTTATGCTAATCCATTTCTTCCACTTCTGCTATTAGCTAGGTCAGCTTTCCCTCCTAACCTATGCAACTATAGCTATGTTTCCATCCAAAAGTGATTTGAATCACTGGGAAATGCGCATTAAAAGAAATACGAATCCTGTGTGTTTCCATTAAATGTATGGACTTTGGTGAAAACTACGAACTCACGCGAGTTTTCCGCAGAACCGGAAACAAAACAAGTCTCGCATTCTTCTTCTTCTACGTTTTCTGGCGGTTGGTAACCAGCTTGTAAATGCATTACCGCCTTCCCGACCCAGAGTGTGGATATCATCATGGAGAGAGGTGTGCTACGTCTAAAGCGAGCGTATTTTAGTTTGTGCGAATCAGTGTATTTTAATTCGATATTTGGCGTTTCCATCATAATTTTCCGATGCAATACTTCTAGATGCGCATCTAAACAGGCTGATGGAAACATGTCTTATGATGCTAATTAGAAGTAAGTACTTATTAGCAGTTGATTATTACAGTAACCTAGAATTAATTGTGTCAAGTGAGGTTGATAATAAGCCCAATTTTGGCTTTAGCTGCCAATAGTTCTTGGCTAACACATGTTGCTAACAAAATAACAGTTAATAATAGTTGCCAACATTAGCAAGACTTTCCATGAAGGAAACAGCTTGGCACTGTACTAACATATACTACTGTAACACGATCATTTAAGATATATAATGTATTCTCATGTAGTTTAAGCAAACATTGTACAACTTGTGTTAGTGATACAAATTATTCAATTTAAACCAAGAACTCAGTTTCAGGTAATCTGACATGCTAATGTGGATCAACCCAGTTAGCAAACCTTTGATTTGGGCTATCTCCCGCTCTGTACCTACTGTCCGGACAATGTTTTTCCACCTTATTACATGTAAATCAAATATGGCTACTGTGTAATTTATGTTAAACTAATGAAACACCAACAAAGTTTTAACAAATTGATTCATACAATATTAGCAAGTAAAGCTTTAAGTTACAAAAAAAAAACATTCACCAAACAAAAGAGTATTCACAAAAGAAAGGGAGGAAGACTTCCTTTGCAGACACGAGAAGTTCATAAAAGGCACATACGCTTCAAAATATAACACCAGTGAATAAAGATTTCCCAGCAAGCACTTGGTCAAGAGATTAGAAATGTTTGTTGTTAGTTTGGAGATGAAGAGCAACTACACCAACAAAATTTTTGACCACAACATTAAGGTTTCAGACTGTGGCACTAGCATTTTATCAACTTATATTAACAATTTAAAAAAATTATAACAAAGAAACACAGAGAGTATTCTGCGCTGGTTCAAGTCTGATCAAGGATATAGATTTGATGTTTGTTTATGCTAGGGCCAGAAACTTGAAACCTTTAAACAGTGGGGAAAAAATTCAGATTCAGATTCCCATTGAGAATATTCACCGATGAAAGAAAGAAAACCCAGCTTTTCTCACAAAAGTCAATCCATGTCTTTAACATATCAAAGAGTCAGTGACATTTTAACGCAGTCATAGACACTTACAACAGCTATACATTTAAAACAGTTTAACTACCACATAAAAACATGTAGCAGAACAGGACACAACAAAGAAAACAGTCAAATCAGTTGGCGGTAAAGAAAGAAGGAAAGAAAAAAGAGAGAAATAGTGGAAGTGCACGAATACAAAAGAAAGACTGGCTGAAAGTACAGTGAAGAGAGAGCATGTTTGTGAGCACAGGCAGCAGGCTGAAGCCATGCAGTGTGAAGAGAGAAACAGAAAGGGGCAAGAAAGAAATCAGAAAGATAGACAGAGAAGATGGCGGAGGGCAGTCGACAGCAGTTTGCCAGCATTGGCGCGGAAAAAAACAACAAAAAATTCAAATGGAAATCTGCTGTATGAGGAGGTCAAGTATGATTTTATCACCTTGTATTATGTGTCACCTACTTTAGGTGATGGGCCATTGGCTGAGCCTTGAAACACAGCGCCCTCTGGAGAACGCTTGGATGACTGTGGTGACTTTATATGACAATCATATACCCAAATAATACTTTATTACTAGTATCTATCTTTAGAATTCAGCACCTGAAAGTTGGAAACCCAAGCAGTGGAAAAATGAAGCCAATGTGGAAATGCCAAAATCTGCAGTTCCTTGAATGGCCACTTGAGGCTGACTCCAAAAATGAGGCAGTCCCCATCGACCCCCATGTTAAAACTTTACAACAGAAATATTATATGAAATAAACACTTGCCTGGTTCAAAAACATTCTGGTTTCTACAGCTAATTTCCCCGTTCACGACAACTGTCCAGGGGATGAATTTTTGTACAACTCACCGGTTTAAATTTTATGAAGGTTTAAAGTTATGCATAATTCAGGGTGTGGTCGCTTTGAGTGGCAGGTGGGTGCCATCTGTTGACAAGTCGCTACCACAGTGACAACGTTGAACAGGTAGCATAACCATGGCTTCCCCCTGGATTCATATAGTCTTGGCATAGCTATCATGACTTCTGTGTGTTTTCAGTTCATGAAAGTGAACTGTAAAAAGTCTTGTTCAGCATTTGGTTGGACTGAAAGACCCTTTAAGGAGTCGGAGGTTTTTCAGCTAAGCACATTTTGTTTTAATGGTTTTAAGCCTGCTTTTGTTAGCAAAAGTTAGCATTAGCATTATTACAGGTAACCAAAGCTGTAAATGCACCGTGCTAACCAAGCAGGCAGCTAGTGTTAAAGTTATCTCCACACTCTCATCCAAATATGGTCACTTCTGGCTCCAAAAATCCAAGATGGCAACGGCCAAAAATTCCAAACTCAAGGCTTTAAAGCTACATCCATTGTTTTAGTCTATGAGTAAAACTAAGGACTCTTAAAGGAACAGTGTGTAAGATTTACAGAGATTATTTGGCCGAGGATAGCAGACTGTAACCAGCTGAAACTTCTCCTGGCTAGAATTCCTTCAGTGTTCATTGTTCAGGAGGTTATTACCAGGAGCTGAATTATCTCTTCCTCTCCAAAACAAACAGACCTGGTGATTTAAAATGGTAAATGACAGCGAAGAAGGCAGTTTTACATTAAATATCAGTGTTTCTCAGATGCTGTTGGGCTCATTGTTGACAGGCGGTTAGCCTAGCACTTGCTAATACGTGCTCACCTTTTGTCACATAACTTAAGACCCAGATGTTCAGGACATCCTCCAGGAAGCCACACAAATTTTAGCTTCCTCTGAACATGTTCTTGCAAGGGAATTTTCTCTGTTGCTGTCAGGGCGTCGTTATCTTTCACCTGCTTGTAAAACTAACCAGTATTCAAAATGTTTTATTCCCTCTGCTATTCGTCTTTTTTTTTTTAATTGTTTTTTTTTAATCTGTTTTATTGATGATCAGTCTATTAACTTTTTTAAATTATTATTATTATTATTATTATTATTATTTATTCCACTGAATTCCTTGGCATATTTTTATTTCTTTGATTTTAATTTATTACTCATCTATTCATGTATCTACAAGTTACTGTACTTTTTAGTACGTGCGCAAGGCAAGCTGTTCAAACAACTTGCTCCTGGTGGGATTAAAACAGTTGTTTGAATCTGAATCCCAAAATGAACCAGGTAATTTAAAGCAGTGAACACACCAAATAAAGCAGTTTCACATTAAAAAAAAATCTGTGTTTTTCTGATGCTGCTTGTCGGAGGGCGAGCTTCTGACTATGGTGGCTTACTCGAAAACGTGAAAACTGGAATGACCCAGTTTAAAGACCCTTCTGGGCTACTGTAGAAACATGGCGAACTCCGTAGATGAGGCCCTGCTCCCTATATAGATATAAACAGCTTATTATAAGGTAAAGAAAACACAACTATTCCTATTTTTAGGTGAATATATGCTAAAGAAAACATACAATATGTTGTATTCAATTTCTGCCAATATGTCCCTCTAAATCCTACACACTGGACCTTTAAATTTACTTACAGTATATAAAAAAAAATCTCTGTATTTCTATTTTAATTATTGCAATTAAATATTAAATCATGACAAACAGTGTACACCTACTAGTATAACCACATGTTTGTAGAGTACACTCGTGCTTTGTCGTGTTTTTCCTCCATAAAACACTTCCTGACTAAACTAATATAGATCCTGCCTGAGCCTGGGTCCAGACATGCTGTTGGTGAGTCCCGCATCAAAGCTTTAAACCCTAGAAAAGAAACATCAGTACACCAGAAAAAAAAAGATATGGCATGATCTTTTAAATCTCATCTAGTCTGACAAATGAACCCAGTGTGTAAAATGTTATTATCAACAGAACAGAAATGATGGACAAAACCGGGATCATCCTTTGTTCCCATCCACTTGAGAAAGTGTCTTAGTGTGTTTAAAGGGCCAAAACAGAGGACAATAAAGATGTTTACTGAAAACTTTTCTGAATTAGTGTGGACATGATCGTAAAATAGTAGCTGTGAGATGTTTTTTTAAATCATGTGCGGACACCCTGCTCTGTCTGTTAATCTCACTGTAAGTGCTGCAGTATATTAGAGGGGCCTCCTCATTTATTTCCATGTGAAAAGAGACGGTGAGCAGGGTTAACAGCGCTCTCCTGCACAAAGCCTCTGACACACATGCGCGCGCGCACACACATACACACACACACCGGGCTGGAGTAGCTGGCTGAGCAGAGGTCATGGCCGAGCGTTCCCCCTGAATGGCGGTGAATAGGCGTGTGGCGTGAATAAGTCCACACGCTTGTCACGCTTGGCCTCCATTAAGGCGTGACAATAGCACTGAAACCCCGCCTACCCCCAACAACTGAGGGTGCCACCCATGGCATATGTGTGTGTGTGTGTGTGTGTGTGTGTGTGTGTGTGTGTGTGTGTCTGTATTCACGACTTGATTTTTGGTGTGTGTCTTTGCAGGTATTGAGCTTGATGTAGTGTGGTAGGTAGCTGTGTGTGTGTGTGTGTGTGTGTGTGTGTGGTAGGCAGATGGTGACGGCTGGTTAAAACGTCCCCGACAGTGAACAAGAGCAGGTTTCTCTCTGCAGACAAAGACTCAAAACTTTTTTCACCGTCACTAAGTGAAATTCTGCTTTCTCTGAATTCCCGTTGTCTTTCTTTCCATCTCTTTAAATGTTTCATCCACCTTTCTTTTGTTGCAACAGTTACAATCCAACATGGCTACTCCGTAACTGACATGTGCCTCTCTCAGGTCGGGGCCACCACAGATACCATATGGAGACCAAAACAGAATCAGTTGATTATAAAAATGTCTGATGATTAGAAAAAATCCAATCTCTTTTGTGATTCATACTGGAAATAAACGTACTTGGTTTGGGCCTTATCTATTTTTAATACCTTCATACATTCTTGATATTTAACCGGAATAAACTGTATTTAAATGGTTAACGATATTTGTGTAAAAAGAAAAAAAAAACAATGTCACTAAAATGACCCCAGGGACCGAGACCTCCTTGAAGAACTCTGGTGCGGTTGGACCTGGATCTAATACAATGCACAATGCCATGTTTCTTGTGAGAACAGTCTAATTATTTCCAGTATGAACCTTGTGGCAAAAATGAGGCTGTCAAAGTGAATCTGAATCAGCTTCTCCCCCAAAAACTCTCCTCAAAGTTCCACTGAGCGAGGCCTAACCATAACGCCTCTGTGAAAGCAGACAGAGGTTAAACTGTGGAGCTCCCAGTATGAACCAGAAACTTTCTATTTTTTCCTAAATGAATAAATTCAGAGCTCGGTCAGTCTTCATGGATAAATTAACATTAAGAGAGAGGAGACAGGTTGCAGAGCTGCAGTCAGAGGTTTGTACTCCGGCTGAAGTTGGAACAAAAACAGCAGAATAGCCCTTTAAAGACCTGCTGACCGAGGAAACAGCAGCGGCTTCCTCCTGTGATATTTAAGGTGTTTTTTTTTTTAATTCTCTGTGGGTTTTATTGCCGGTGGGCTGCATTATCAAACCCCCGCCTCTCCTCCCTCCCACCTTCCCCGCAGGGCCCTGGGGGTGTGTGAAGCGAGCGCCCCCTCCTTTTGTAGTTACCTTGTTTGATCTGGGCCTGTAGCGCTGGGTTGGAGGGCTGAGGGGGGGCAGCCAGCGTCCTGCGAGGACTCTCCGGGGTTCCTCCTGGTCTGGGAGGCCTGGAGGAGGATCACAAAGAGGAGGCATGAAATATTCAAGGAGCAGGGAGGAGAGAGGAGGGCTGACACACAGAAACACACACACACACACACACATACATAAAACCAGGAGTTCACACAAACAGCATTTTTTTATTTCTATTTCCTGAAACCAAATGCTTGAATATCGTGTGTGTGTGTGTGTGTGTGTGTGTGTGTGTGTGTTCTCAGGCTCCAGCCTATTGAATTTTGTGTGGAGGACACCGTCCTGAGTCTGAACAGACTGGAGGCGTCTAACTTTCAGAGACACACAAACACTTCCAATACAACAATCAATGGGGTGATCAATGACGGTTGCCAGGCAACAAGCACTGTCAGGGAGCTCTACGATTAGGAGTTACTACAGCCAAAAATCTACAAACGGGACTTTCTGAAGAGAAAAGAAAGCAACAAGAGAATGAACCAACTGCACCAACGGGTGACAACTTGAGTGTGGCAAAAATCCAAGGTGATCTGACATCATCATCATCATCATCATCATAAATTTTGTGACAGAAGTTCATGTGTTTCGATGAACGCACTGGAAAGTACTTGAAAGTATTGTTAAGTCTAATTCGTGGTCGGGCGCTCGACACTTTTGATGAGCGTCACTCGACAGAAACAGAAGAACTACACGATGTTTTCAATATATGCTGTGGTGAAAGGCTTCTGTCGTCTCCATGGTAACCAGACGCTATCCTTCAGCCAGCTTGTTGAGCTACATCCCAATTATATCCTTCTGACAGTGTTTGTTTTGTATCATTAGTTGTGCGGCTTTGTTTCCTTTTGCATTTTGATAGTGGAGATTTGATGAAATCAGTGAGTTAATTGGAGAGGAACACATATTTAAACACTCTTCAACTGAGAAGACAACAGGAGCGCAAGAAAAGGAGGTGGTCTAGTCGTCCATAGATATAGTCAGTAGTCATTGTTAGGGGGAGTGGTGAGGGCTGTGTTAGCGAGGGACAAAACAGTCCTTTCCCCCAGCCCATACATGCTGGGATAGCCCATATTTTGAACTCACGTAGGAGACACTTTTATATTTACTATAGATATGATTAATCAACTAAACCCATCATATTTGTTCTCTACAGCCATTAACGCTCTGATGTAATAGACCAGAATCATGCTTTAGTGAATTCCATGCATGTTTTCGGAACAGTGTAGCAGCACCAATGTTACTCCACGCCTTTAGCCTGTTTTGACAACGTGTTATAACAGTATCACACAGGGATTTGAAGCCCTACAGTTCCTTGGATGCTCACAACTTTTTTACTGGTGGCTGAACAATGTATCACTGTTTGGATAAAACGTTAGCAGAAACAGCCCTGATATCACCATTGACAATCCAACCAGATTCCATTTAAATAAAGATAAATTTTAGCATGTATAGAGGCAGCATGTTTTCACGTTTAACAGGCTGAATTATATTTCTAACTCAGCCAAACCAGAGCTGCTGATTGTTGAACAGTGGAGACATGAACCAGGATGGTCTGTGAGATTTATTTTGTTTGTGTTGACTTCGAATGGAGTGTGTTTTATAGGCCTGTCGCGATATGCGATAAGTCGGTTAATTGCACGGTAAATTTAAAAAGGGAGACGGTAACTTTTCCGGCCGCGACTAATTGCCATATTCATGCGTGTTTGTTTTCCCTCGTCTCTCTCCACCAAAGAGACGGGACAACAAGAGCGTTCACTGCCGTGCATCATCTGGCAGCCAGATGAGTTGGTTCATTAGCGTAATGAACTGAGGGAAAGCTCTTGTCATCAAGTGTCTTTGTCTCAGTGCGATCTTCGTGAGGGGGAGACGAGGCAGAGAAAAAACAGAGTTGTTCCTAAACCAAATGCCACGGTCCCCTTTGTGGGAGTGTTGTGGATTTAAACCAAATGACAGAGGGGAGCCCAGTAATGTGGACGAGCTGGTGTGCTGGGTTTGTTCTAAAACCATCTCAACAAAAAGAGCAAATACACCAACTTATCTGCACACCTGATAGTGAGAGACTGACAGTCTATTATTTGTATTTATAAGGTCTTTATTTATTTATTTGGGATATTTATATTTTCTTTTTTGCATTCGTAAATATTCTTGTTAAATAAATGTTTATTTCTCTTCTAAAGGGTGTACTTGCATCATTATGCCTTTACTATCATTACATAAGTTTAAAAAATGGTCTATAAACAGCAAAATTACAACAATAATAAAAATGGTCTTAAAAGCACAATATTACGCAATATTATTGCAATAATTTCTGACGCAATTAATCGGCCAGCAAAATTTGTTAGCGTGACAGGCCTAGTGTTTTATGATGATAAAATTACTGTTTATTCAAATGGAGTCTAGAGAGTTTTACAGTGGTGATTTTGGGGCTGATTTTGGTTTAATAAAAATGTCTATCTCTGTAGGGATCCTCTCCATAATGTTGTCAGATTTGACAAAATCAAAAACAAACACTTTTAGTGGATGTATATCGAAGCCTGGCCGCTGCCAATATTCCCCAAATACTGGACCACTTTTAAAAAATGTTCCCATCAGTCACTTAGACACAAGAATCTGAAGATATAGGGTCTGGGTTGAAAAATACCCGTTAGTTCTGGGTTTTTAAGTTGATTAGATGTGCAGAACAACACAGAAACTCTTCAGCGTAGTAACAAATGCTTTGTTTTCCCCCTCGGTGTAAATGTATGTGACACGATTTGCATTTCTGTTTAAAGTTATTTTTATTCTGTTGTGTTTTCTTTATAAAGAGAATAATTTCTATTATTTTATTCTACAGAGAACATCGAGTGAGAACCATTCAGAGCAACAGAGCACAAGAACATGTGCACCTGCGAGCCCCCCTCACCCCACTCGACTCACACACACACACACACAGCTGCTCTCGCTGCTTTTCACTATAACACGCACAAAAACCACACTGACCCCTCAGCCCCCTCCACCTTCACACACACCTTTGTGTAAATGCGGCACACGACACACAAAGAAACACAGTCTCGCTAACAAACACTAAAATGATGCCAAAAATATTGCAGTAAAAACAATTTAACATCAATTAATTTCATTCTAAAGTGCAGTTGAAGCTAATGTGTGAAAACTCCTCTGTGTTTCCTCACTGAGCAGCAGAGGATGAAGCGTACGGCACAAACTGCACTGCTGCCGTCCATAATAACACAATAAAAACAGAAATAATGGAGATTATTTTTACACTGAAGAACCCACAGCTGGTCACTAAACCTGCTTTAACTCCTGAGACACTGTGTGTGTGTGTGTTTATGTCACATATATATTTGATATCAGACTCTCTCAGGCGGGATAAATTCAGCGTGCGGCCTGTCAGCGCAGCTCATGATGTTATCTGAGCGCTGCTGTTTGTATCTGCATGTGTAATGTGTGTACGGGCTGGAGAACAGGGTGTAGGGCTGTTATCTAAATACAATCTAAATCCAACCAGTTTAGTTGATTCAATAACCAAAGAAAAAAATCTCACTTCATATATTCTGTGCTGAGCGTTTAAATGCGGCTCAGGTGTGACTGGATGCTCAGAACTGAAATGGTGAATTGAATTTTTTTTAAATGCATCAACATGGTATTGTGGGACAGAGGTGGTATGTGTTTATTAGAAAGTGAAAATCAACCCATATGGACACGTGATGATTAGGATTAGTTTTGCTTTTGTTCCTTCATCAGTTTTTCTTCTATTAGGAACTGCTCTCAGCTGCTCTACAGGCACACAGTGCAGCTAATGTAAATGCTAACTAATCATATGGTGGAGGACGACGACACCTCTCCATCTTTAATGAATAAAACACTGAAGCAACAGGAAACCAAATCAATCTCCCCGAAACAGAGATAAAAATGGGTTTCTTCTACTCATCCAGCTCTATGTGGACATACTGTTACTGAGCAAACACCACAACCGGAATATTCATGTTCCTGATTGCACTATAATTCAAATGCCAGGAGCGTGACAAGGCGCTGCGCATCTATTCCAAGGTTTCCCACATTTGTGTCGGCCTGCCATGATTAAAATATCTGCCGCCACAAATAAACGTTCTATTTTTGGAGCTGGGCCATTCATTAGGAGCGCTGTAGGAATATATATATACGTTTGGTTATTTATAGAACCACACTGTCAGACCACAGAGTGCACTCAGGGCAGAGATGGAGCAGCAGAACGTCAGGTGCATTGAAAGATTCAAAAAACTTAATCTATCATATGTTGATAGAAACTTGTCTAAGGTTAGGGGCTCCAAAACATAAAACATACATCTGTAGAAGTCTCATAAAATTGAAACTGTGTTAAAAACCCAGCCAATTCCATAAATTAATAAAAAAACTAAGAGCACATGTGCAAAGCTATATTAAAAAATAGTGACAGTCTGCCTGATGGGAGGAGCTGAAAAGAGAGATGAAGGGCGTGTGAGGGGTCCGTAGTGATGTGGAGTCTACCGTTCATTCTGCTGGGTCTAAAAGTTTGCATTCACTTGCAGCAGCTGCTCCTCTCTGACCTGAGCAGCTCTGAACGAGTGGACAGGTCGATTATCCACCCCGTGAGTCACAAACTGCTGCTAAGGGGGAAAAGGAACTCATGGGGAGCTACGTCTGCGCTACGTTTACGTACCCAAAAAAACTTTTAGAGAGAGGACACAGAATGATGCAAAGGGACACATGGACAGTTAGCTGTCGTCCCCCGATTCCCCGTTAAGGTGTCGCCCATGGGACCTTATTTAGGTGAAAATATGTATGGCAGTCAATGGCAAGAGACAAATCATTTTTTGATCCTGCCATGAATTACACAAGTGATGTTTATCATTTAAAAAAATCATTTTGCAAATAAAGAAAGTCGCTCTAGCACCATTTAGTTTTGTGTGAAACCGCTCAGTGAACTACATCTCTCCTCACCAACACCAGCCAGCTAGCCAAGCGCTCGTACTCATCATCCTCCGCTTATCCAGGTCGGGGTCGCGGGGGCAGCAGCCTCAGCAAAGAAGCCCAGACAGTCCTCTCCCCAGCCACTTCCGTCAGCTCTTCCGAGGGAACGCCGAGGCGTTCCCAGGCCAGCCGGGCGATGTAATCCCTCCAGCGTGTCCCAGGGCGGCCCCGAGGTCTCCTCCCGGTTGGACATGCCCGAAACGTAACTTTATCTTAGCTGATGTGTTTTATCCAGCCGCTCCTGGTCTTTCTAGCTTCAGCGAGAGAGAGAAGTATGACATCACCAACACGACTTGTGTCGTCTTATACGTCTACAGATTTACGACGAACTGAGACTTTCTCGACTTGCAAAATTATCTTTTAAATTTAAAAAAAATGCATATGAGTAATTTATAGCCCAATTCAAATGAGATCAAAAAATTATTTGTCTCTCGCTGTTAAATACTGCACACATTTTTTCTGAAATAAGGTCCCATAGTGGTCCACAGTAGGTGGAGGGACTTTGCTTCACTATAAGTTCCTATTCTTACAGACTAAAGTTAGGAGAGGAAACGTAGAAGCTTTTTGTGTTTTTCATGTTTATTTCTGTCTTGGTGAGTTTCTCAACAACAGGACTTCCCGGACTTGTTCCACAGAGAAGCTCGATCCCTCAGCCAGACTCGTGGAGGCAGTGCTGTTGTGGTTGTTGTGATGAAATACTAAAACACTAAGAGTTCAGGAGCACTTCTTTTCAAACTCCAGCACACAGGGAGGAAGCTTTTCCACTGTCATAAATGTAAGATGGGGAACATGAAAAAGCCAAAAACCCAAACACGTTCAAATATTCAGGACCGCAGGTTTGGAGCGTGGAAGTGGAGACGGACAGAGACAAGACCCTAGTTTGAGTTTCATAAAGAAGTCTTCAGCTTCCGTCTGTAGTTGCACAATCACCTGCTCTGATCTGGACATGCCACAGAAGACAAGTTTCTTTGTTTCTGAGAAAGTAACAACTGGCTTTGAAAAGTTTTCCAGGCTGAGCGGTGCCGTCTGTCCTCCTGCTGTAGGGCTCTGACTGGGTTTGACAGGACTCAAGACCTGGACTTGTCCTGGTAGTGTGTGACGGCGTGGGTCAGGAGACAAGGACAGACTGACTGACCAGCCCCCAGTGTAGCATGGACAATGATGCGGAGCTGGTAGTTAGAGCTAATGAGCAGCTACTGTCACACTGTCTGTGTCTCTGCAGGAAAGACAGGGATACTGCTGGAGCTCTGACAGTCACTGGGAGCACATTTTTATTCCCCCTTGAGAGAGTTATGGTGTGGATACCAGTGCTGTAGCTGGACCAGCAGATCCACCACGAAAGGCTTTTCCTGTGTGTCTGTGGGCTCTTATAAGACACTAAGTGTTCTGTTAATCACTATTTTAAGACAAGATTCTACTGAAACAGAATTCCTTTCGAAATTTTTCTCATTTCAACTGAACCTTTTTAACATGTTAACCAATTTATTTAATGAAGATGATTAAACACAAAGAGGACTTAATTATAGACTGAAAATAAGTGATTTTTTTTTTACATTCTGTTAATACTGTCCCCACTGTGTGTGTGTTCATGTACAGTCCCCTTAAAAACATACTACTCTGCCCCAGTCCACGACCTGGAAGCAACATGGAGAAGAACTCAAACACCAAGCCAACTTGAGCAGCTTTTACTAAACAGAACTGCTGTGTCCGTCGTTTGGGCACATTTTGGCTTTCATGAAGACAACACCAAACAAAAAGAAATCAATTGTAAACACTGCAGAAAAACCACTGTAGCAACCAATGATAATGCCACCAGTCTGTTTCAGCCATATAGTTCATCTGTGCGTGTTTCCTTCAATTATCTTAAAATCACAAAGATATGCACTCTTTCATTAGAAAAAATATTCCTGCTTCAAAAGTTGAGCATATTTACAGTACAAACTTTGTCAGTGAACTATGAGTAAGGACGCACGCGATTAGACGTCTAAACAATTAAACGTCCGCCCCGTCACTAGTCGGCACCAGAAATATTAGTCAGTTAAACCAATTAGTGTTTTATTCATGAGCAGGGCGCTTAACTGTCATGCAGCCGCCCGCCACTAGTGGGTGGTACAGAGCCGTCAGACAGCAGTCCCCCTCCCCGCGGTAATGCTTGAGTAGACTGGAGTTTTAAAACAGCATGGTGGGAAATTGGAGAGATATCCTCTCACAAAACCAGCGCTGGCAGAACTTTGATCTAGAAAAGGAAAACAAGGTAGCACGGAGGCTGTGTCAGAAAAAAAAAAGGCATTTTAGTGAATAACGTTTGAGTTCTCGTCATGTTCACATTCATACCGCACAGCGCGAAGTGACTCGTACTTCAGCGGTATATAAAATCCAATATGGTTGTTGAAGATTGTGATTTAAGGATTCAAAGGGCTCTTAATGCACACAATATTTTTTGGGATGTTTCAAATACTTTACAATAACTTGTGCTAAATTTTGACTGTTTTCTGAGTGTTTTCCTTTTTTCAAACTAGTCGACTAGTACAAATTAAAATTTTCATTTAGTGGACAGGGAAATAAGTCGCCAGGAACATCCCTAACTATGAGGGCAAAAAAACAAAATTAAAGTTCAGTAATTGTAATCGAGGTTAAATGTTCAGTTAGTCGTTATGTTGATTTGAGGTCATATTGCCCAGCCTCACCTAGCCAAGTGTTGGAAAAGCCTTTCAGTATTTGAGTTTGTTGCTGCCTCCGCCGGCCGGTTAAGTGGAAGCAGGCCATTACGATAAAAATAAGTCAATAAAAAACATTTTGGAAAATTGTAAATCACTTCTACCAGGAGAGATCCTTAAATATACAGTCACAAATGTGGTGTGCACAAAACATATCAGGCTGATAGGTCCAGTAGTATGCAAGATTAGCTATGGACGGACAGACAGATACACACACTCTCATAAACACACACGCAACCAACCACATGATCCCCTCCAGGCTTAGATAATAAAAATCAGAAGAGGCTGATGAAAACAACCATTTCACCACCTTTCTCCCTGTAACAACTTCCTCTCTCGCTGTGTGTTTTCCTCTCTGACTCTTCCTCGCCTGCCCTCCCTGCAGGGTTATTCTGTTCAGGACTGATGAAATGATGAAATGTTGTGTTGGTGTTACAGCAGCAGGACCTCGACCTCCATGTTAAATCTTTCACGGCACAATGAGAGCTCAGACAGACTAAACAATCAGCCTCACACACACAAACTTGACAGTGGTTGAACTTCAGCTGCTGCTGGCGCTACTGTGTATGTGAACAGCATCTGTGTTTCGTGCTCAGAATGAAGTTCGTGTTCTGTTTGTTTGGGTTGTTATTGTTGTTCAGCTGGAATCACTGATGACAGATCAGGTTTTTCTGCCTGGTGAATCCAGATATGTCGAGCTTAGGTTCAGATTTTCTGTGGTATACATGGACATACAATATGTCCCATTTAGGAACATGTCTGTGTTTAAAAAAAATGTTTTTCGAGTAAGTACATTTGGTTTTAATGGTTTCAAGGAGGGACGTCAACTGTTACTCAATTAACCACCAAGGATATTTACACATTTTTGACCGGTTATGCATGTCGCTCTGTAGGTTCATTTTGCCAACTCTTCAATTAACTGCATTGTGCACCAGCTGGTATAGTGGGAGCTAGCATTAGCAAGTGTGCCACTCATTCTGCAATTACTGCTCGTAACGCCGTCCAGACCCAAAAGCTTTGCTGTGAAAACATTGTGCCCACTCTCCTGGTCCCTTCCAGGTCACCCCAGTGAGTAAGCAGATCAGTTTTGACCCCCAGTTAGCACTGACAACTACTGTTAGCTCTGTTAGCATCGTTAGCAAGGCTTGTGGTGCTAACATAGTTAATAATGCTAAAGGGGTTTTGATGCTCAAAATGAAGTGGCTTACTCACCGTCGTTACCTATGGGGAGATCAGAGAGTGGCCACGATGTATCTGTACCGCAACAATGCAGTGCAGTCACACGGACAGCGTTACTAGCTGTAATTGCCAAATAAGCAGTGTGGCTAGCAAACTCCCACCCAAGCCGGCTGGTGCGCAGGGCAGAGCGGCCAAGGCTAACGTTAGCTAACCAGAGGGCAAAGATTATGCAAGACATTTATATAATAAAATTAAAATTATAATAAAATTTCATCATCCCTGAATGGATGGCGCTTTGAAATGCGGTGCTAAGGCTTACTGTATCAATGGAGTGCCGAACTACAAAGAAAGGCCTCTTGTACTTCACATCATTTTGCACTCTTTGCCCTTAAAATTTAACTGGTTAGTCACTGGTTGATGAGTGTCAGGCTATCGAAAGCAAAATAAACTGAAACTGACATCCCTTATTTATAGCCTGTATTTTGCTAGCAAAATTTAGCATTATCACAGTTAACCATAGCTGTAAATGCACTGTGCTAACCAAGCTAGCATCTAGCGGTAGGTTTAGCTCCACTCTCTCGTCCAAATATGGTCACTTCTGGGTTGGAAAATCAAAATGCCGAACTCGAGGCTCCAGAATAGATGTCAACAGACCAATGGGTGACATCACGTTGGCTATGTCCATTATTTTATGCAGTCTATGTGTCCCCAACAGCTCCTGATAAAGTGTAAATTTCTTAAAGACCTCTCCTTCTCAGTAAAACTACCCAGTCAAATTTATAAAGTTAAAAAAGCATAATCAAATCACGTCAGTGTGTGTTACCTGACTGGTGCTTTCTTCATGTGCTCTCCGACGAAGGTGGCGTTGGTCATGCCCATCAGAGTGTTGGCGAGTGAGATCACAGACAGCAGGTGCTGTGTGGTGACAGCCCTCGACACACCGTATGTCCCCTTCCCCACGATGTCAGACAGAGTCAGATTCAGACCCGTCGCGAGGGACAACTGCCGCAGCAAAGACTCCTGGGAAACAGAGGCAGACAAATGAACCAGGGAAGAAAAGTAAGAAATCCTAAAATGTAATCAACATAGTCAACAATCAGAATGCTCACAGATTAATTTTCTCTCAATCAGTTAATCATGTTTTTTTCAATAAAAATTGACTTTAACACCCACACCACAGGTGACACCTGACAGACGAGTACCTTGAATGTGGGCAGCATGAGGGACATGTGACCTCCTCTGGAGATCAGGCCGAAGGAGATGGGGCAGTGCGGTCTGAGCATGCCCAGTCGCTCCAGACAGATGCCGTCCAGCTGCTCGTTGAGACCCCAGGCGTGCAGGCAGGACATGAAGAGTTTGGCCGTGTCCATCGTCAGGTTGTACTCCAGCAGACTCAGAGACTTGGACTTCTCCTCCCGCCTCCTCATCTCTTCCTCCTCCTCCTCGTCTTCGTCCAACAGGTGCTCCTTGATGGTCTCCTTCATCGTCTCCTTCACCTGGTTTGGACAGAACACAAGAATAAGATAAAAGAGAAAGACAATAAATGAAATCCTAAAATATTACGTCAGACATCATATAACACTTCTAAGCTTTATAACCTTTATTAGCCAGTGTAAAAGATGTCTGCATTTACTGACCTGTTTGAAAATCTTGTTGGCCAGGAAGGACCCCCCCTTGTCAGCCCCAGCTTGGCTCTTCTGCAGCGTCTCTGGAGACACCAGCGTGGGGTTTGGTCTCTGGGCTTCCTCCGTCAGAAGCTGAATGATCACCGCCTCCACGTCGAAGAACAGCACATGCATGTCGGGGTCTGTCAGGTTGGTCTTCATCGACTGGACCACCAGGGCATTATGGGAGTACTTCGGCAGGTTGCCCTGGAGGAGAACGAGAGAATTTTGTAAAAAAAAATAAGACTTAAAGGACACAGTCACAGTGAGTCACAGTCAAAACAAGACGGTGAGCTTTCGTTTTGGGATTGTTTCTTCTTCTTGTTAAGTTTTGTCATAATTAGCCATAAGAATACTTGAGTTAAGGCCAAACACGTTTGTGGGGTCACACTGACCTTGACTTTTGACCTTCCACCATAAAACTAATAATTTTTTTCTTCAGTCCAAGTGGACGTTTGCATCAGATTTGAAGAAATTCCCTCAGGGTGTTCTTTGAGATATCCCATTCACAAGAATGAAATGAATGCAAGGTCACAGTTACCTTGACCTTTGACAACCAAAATCTAATCACTTCATTGTTGAGTCCAACTGAACGTTTGCGCCAAATTTGAACAAATTCCCTCAAGCTGTTCTTGAGATATTGTGTTCACAAAAATGTGACGGATGAGGTCACAGTGACCTTAACCTTTCACCACTAAATTCTAATCAGTTTATCATGGATCAAAGTGGATGTTTTGGGGGTTTTAGTTTTCACCTTTATTTGATAGGACAGTTGAAGCGTAATGGGTGAGAGAGAGGAGATGATATGCAGAAAAGGGCTGTCAGATTTGGAATTGAACCTTCGGCCACTACAGCAAGGACGTTGCCTTTATATGTGGAATGCCCACTATTCCTACTGAGCTATTGGTCGCCCTCAAAGTGGATGTCTGTGCCAAATTTGTAGAAAAAAAAAAGAGATCTTCTTTAGATATCGTGTTACCGAGAATGAGACAGATGAGGTCACACTGACCTTGACCTTTGGCCCATGACCACTAAAATCTAATCAGTTCATCCTTGGGTCCATGTGGACATTTGTGCCAAATTTGAAGGAAATTTCCTTACAGCATTCTTGAGATCTCGCAGTTATTAGAATTGGATGGATGGGCAGATAAACGGACAGACAGACAGACACAACCCAACAACATAATGTCTCCAGCCACGGTCATCGCTGGCGTGGAGGCATGAAAACACTGAGCAACCACCATCTGGCTGATCAAGACCTAAAATGGAAGCAAAGCAGTGTAGTGCTTCCACTAGGTTGACCTCAGTGGCCTGGTGGATGGGGCGGCGGAGGGAGCTAACAACTTAGTTCGTAAGTTAGTTGGTTAGTAAGGTTTTACTGCGAGCAAAATTATACAAGGATTCATTTTCTTCTAGATCTGGGTACAAAAAGGACGAAATGCAGGTATGGTCTGACTGAAGAAGTCCTGGGTAATTTCAGCTGACACTTAAAAAGGTACCAAGAACTGATACGCAGCCCCAATTATCAACAAATAAAAAAACAACCACTTCAGAATATAATGATTTAAATCAGTCATCCCTTTAAACACAAACTGTCATTCAGAAACACACAAACACTCACACACACACACACAGAGCCCATTATCCATTAATTGCCACCAATACTCCCACACCGCTCGATTTTAATTGTATTAGCAGAGACACCTGTGTGGAGCCGTATGTAGAGCAGTGCTGTTTGTTTACATGTTAATAACCTGATGACTGCAATCAGACTACTGTTAGAGTCCGACTCTGAGGGAGAGGAGGAAGACGGCAGGGAGGGGTGATTAAGGGAAGAACGAAGTGAGGAAATAAAAAGAAAAAAAGCAGAACAGGATTTCAATCCGACTGTTTCATGAAGGATTTTCTATTTGCTGTTATGTTTCCTTCTGTATGAGGAATGAGCTGTACAGAAACCACCACATTCATACCGCACGGTGTGAAGTGTCTCGTACTTCAGCGGCATTTAAAATCCAACATGGTTGTTGAAGATTGTGATTAAAGGCTTCAAAGGGCTCTTAATGCACACAATGTTTTTTGGGACAATGTTACAAATACTTTACAATAAATTGGGCTAAATTTTGACAGTTTTCTGAATGTTTTCCCTTTTTTTGACGAGTCGACTAGTCTTAATTAAAATTTTAGTTTAGTCGACAGGGAAATTAGTCACCAGGAACATCCCTAGTATGAGTGCAAAAAAAACAAAACAAAATAATCGTTAAGTATCTGTAGTAAAAGGTAAAATGTTTAATTAATCGTGATGTTGATTTGAGGTCATATCGCCCATCCCTACCTAGCCAAGGTACGTGATTTAGTTGCGGCCCTCACTAGCTGGTTAAGAGGAATTAGTAGTCAGCAGGCCATTACGATATAATACTGTCAATAAAATAGGTTTTTGAAAAATTTTGAATCACCTCAACCAGGAGAGATCCTTAAATATACAGTCACAAATATGAACAAAAAACATTAGGCTGATGGGTCCAGTAGTATGCAAGATTAGCTACGGACAGACAGAAAAATACACTGAAGATTGTGCTTAAAGGCTCCAAAGGGCTCTTAATGCACACAATGTTTTTTGGGACAATGTTTCAAATAATAAATTTGCTGTTTGTTTTCCGAGTGTTTTCCCTTTTTTAGACGAGTCGAGTAGTCTTAATTAAAATTTTCATTTAGTCGACAAGGAAATGAGTCGCCAAGAACAATGTTTTTTGGGACAATGTTTCAAATACTGAACAATAAATTGTGCTAAATTTTGACAGTTTTCTGAGTTTTTTCCCTTTTTTAGATGAGTTGACTAGTCTTAATTAAAATCTTCATTTAGTCGACAAGGAAATGAGTCGCCAAGAACATCCCTACTCAGAAGCAAACAGTTGCATAGCTCGAGAAAATAACATGGAAAATGACTGAATGACTGTCTGCATGTCCCCCCTATTTTCACCACACTAGTATTATAACAGACCATGATATTGTGGATAAGACTATCCACAACTGCATGGTTTGCCATTTTTCCCTTGCATTTTTGTATTGTAGTACTTAATTTTATTAGTTACATTTTTATTTGCAATATTATCAGCCAATATATTTTGTCTGTTAATTTATTTTTGAAGCATTTATAATGTAAAATTGGTGTTTCTGTACTGTGTGCTTTGTATCTTTTGAAAAACTAAAGCAACAAATACTCACATTAAAGAAGCTGGTTCGATAAATAACTGCGGTCGATAGGCCAGTCAATTTACTAATTGTTTTACCACTGGTTATGTTCACACTGTAGAGCTGCTGCTTTAGCAATAAAGTACACCACTATAGTCGAAAGCAATAAAGACTATTTGAATTTAAAAGGCTCTTGATACCTTTCTGTTGTTGCTTGATTCTCTCTTTCTTGTGGTGCTTCAGATTTAGGTGTTTTCTCCGTTTTGTTACTATTATTGTTGATAATAAAATCATTAGTGTTTCTCTGTGACGCACTTCCTGGTCTAGGAAACACTGTTTTTAACGTGTCATGTCGATAAAGCTTGTGGGATTGAGCTGGATGTGACTGTGTGACAGAGACAGACAGAGAACAATAATTAGCTGTGGAGACTCCTGACTGACCGAGACACACAATACACCTGCAGCTGGGACACACACACACACACACACACACACACACAAAGCGACACAGAGGGGCAGCATCATGGCTTTGACAAGAAAGTCGTCCCTGAGGGTGTGTGTGTGTGTGTCATGTGTAAATGCAGGTTGATCCACACAATGCTGCTCCTGCCCTGTTGCTTTGCCTCCTTCACAGATTATTTATTAATTCATTCAAAGAGCTGTTTGATTCCAGCTCAAATCTTTTCCACACACACCACCAATAGAACAGTGTGTCTGCGCTGTGGTAAACACAGTCAGTGAATGTTTGCTGACACCTGTGAACACTGAACTGGCCTCAGCCACCACACTGAACACAGCTTGTTTTGGTAGAGGTCTAAGATTTTCACCTGCAAACGCGAGACATTTGTGCCTCATTCCCACGTTTCAGTGTGTGTGTGTGTGTGTGTTGTTTTGGTGGATGAACACTGCCATCTAAAGGCAACCAGCCACATTACACTCAGGTGATAACAGACACATACATGTTGATACAGAGGCCACAGTGATGTTTGGTTTTGGTGTCAGTCTGAATTTTCCAATCAAATAAATTCTTAAATTTTGAAAATAGCTGTAACAATTAGTCAGTTAACTGATTAGTTGATCAAAAGAAAATTAATCGCAAAGTATTTTGATGGTCTATCAGTCGTTTCAGTCGATTATTTAAGCAAACATTTGCTGATTTTATTTTCTTGAATGTGAGAATTTGCAGCTTTTCTTTGTTATTTATGAGAGTAAATGAAAAAGCTTCAGGTTTTGAAATGCTGTTTGAGCAAAATAAGCAATTCGAAGAAGACATGATGAGCATTTTTCACTTTTTTTTAGGACATTTTATAGACCAATGCTTCCCAAGTGGTCAAGCCACAGGGTTCAGACTTCTCCTTAGTCGTTAGTTCAAGGTTCACACAGCTAAATATATTAAGCGTCATACTTGCATCTGGCCATGTTGTTGAGTTGTGTCTGTTCAGCTGTCCATTAGTCCCTCACTCTACTGCAGGAAACACTTTAAAATAAAAGTAAGTCAGTAAAATTCAAATGGATCATTGTCTGGTTTTGTTGAATCTTCCGAGGGTCTCTCTCGTAACAAGTGTCCAGCAAAAACTCCTGAACAAACTCCTATTATTAGCAAGAAAGTACATTTTATTTCTAAGGATTAAGTTGCTTTTGGTCCATTCAAAATGGGCCCGTGACCCACTTTTAGACCATGACCCATCAGTTGGGAACCACTGTACTTTACAGACTAAATGATTAATAATGATAATAATCAGGAGATCAATTAATGATGAGAGTAATCACTAGCTGCAGCCCCAGGTATACACACATGCACACAGGCTGTTTTGAAAAACTGACATTTCAATTCAGTGTCTTACCTAAGCGCACACACACACACACACACACACACACACACACACACACTGTCCTATAGCTCCTGGGCAGTAGGTCTAAAGGTCATTGTCCTGCAGGGCCCTTCTGGCAAACACCACTGGAGTCCAACGAACAGTCACACACATGCCCACAAACCCCAGTGCAACACACACACACAC